TAAGGTACGGGAATCCCGTACCTTACTTAACGTACAACGGTTCTGCCCTACCTTAAAATCGTACGCTCTTGTACCTTACACATTTACGGTGCAGACCGCCACGCCACACCCTGCGCCCCGTCCGTCCGCGCCTGTCCACGGCCGTGTCGGGCGCACTCTTCGCGAGAAGAGCGGGGTGGGGCGGGGCCCTGGCTCTGCGCCCTGCGGCCTGCTCCGCCCCAATTTCATCTCCAAATCCCATCTCTCGCCCTTCCCGGGCCGAGGTTTGCGCCGCCCCGCGCCCCGTGTGCGCGCAGGGCGGAGGTTGGAGGGCGGAGGGGTCTGCCGGCCGGCTGCCCGGGCCCCGGGGCGTATGGACACGGACGGCACCCCGCCCGAGGCTATTTCCATGGCGGGGCGGCCGGACCCCGTCCGGACCCAGCTGAATTGGGCGAGGTCTAGCTGCCTGGTCTGGTGGGTCCAGGAGGGCGCAGGAGGGCGGGGTTGGGCGGCGAGAGGCGCAACGCGTTAGGCTGCCTGTCCCCGCGGCTGGCAGCAGAAACTGTTGCTGGAAGGAGAATCAATAGAGAAACGCCGCGCTGCGCTCGGCTCCAGTCGGCGGGGGGGGCTGGGCTGGGCTGAGCTGAGCTGCGCAGGGGTGGGTGGGGTGGGGGGTACGCGTCCCAATCGTCCACTCGTCCTGCGCGTCCGCGCTCTCCTGCTGCTCCTGCTGCTCCTGCTGCTGCTGGCCATGACCCCTGCGGGAGAAGATCGTGCTGAAGGCCGTGGGTCTATAGAGAACGGATGGAGAGTGGGTTATCTTACTTTCGGCAGGATGATACCTCGGACTGACACTCTGCTAGTGCGAAGGTAAATTTTTAAGATTTGTTGCCGCGGTATGACCCAAGGAACCTCATAATTGCGTGGAGAAGGGGCTGTCTTTCTATCAGGGGTAAAACACCGCAATATCCAATACCCCGAAAATAACCAAAAGTCGATACGCTTACCGGAAGTACCGGGTGTAACTGTGAATACGCTGCAGTGTTGCGGGTCTGCCTATTCTTGACACCTGTAAGGGGCCATGGCCCCTGCGCCCATATTGAGTATGCAATCCCGCAACACTGCTGCGTATTCACAGTTACACCCGGTACAGTCATTCAAGAGTCGTAAACTTTTTCACGTCGACTGGTCTAAAACCGCATCGCGCATCGCGGGCAGAGGTTGGAGCACGTCGACTTATTGTCATCGTGAGTGGGTGTAAGTGAATGCGCGAGCGTGCGTGTGCGTGTGTGTGTGGGTGATGTGACTCGAGCAGCCCGTGCGCGACGGCGCGCACTGACCCGAGTGCCAGCCTGTCGGTTCCCGTTGCGAGACATAAATAAAACTGTCTCGGGGCGGGCTTGCGCCGCTTGCGGGGCGGGGACCGGCCGGGGCTCCTATCCCTTCCTATTTCTGGCGTCGATAACGTCTTCGCCTTCGCTCCGCCTTTTCCAGCCGACTTATTCGGCGGGTCGATGTTGGGGCGACGGTGCAGCACATGTGCCGTCCCCCGAGGCGAGGGTCACTCTCCCCCGCGCGCCTGAATGCCGAACTCTGCTGGCTCTCTAATCGGGTGTCATTGCCGCCATTGGACAGTTTTCTCCACTCCTTTGCGCCCGGCCGGGCGGGCGGGGGCCGGATGATGGGGTGGATCCTGCTGGGCGCGCCCATTCGCCCGCCGCCTTTGAGCGGACTGTCATCAAGGCCCGCCCCGTGTCTATTTTGGACCAGAGTTGCGCGGTCACCAGGAGGCGGAGGAGGCGGCGGCGTGGTGGGGGCGGCGGTCGCCGCTACCCCGGATCCGCTTTTAGGCGACGGGCGACGCAAGTTAGGAAGCACTCAGAGCTAATTACCGTGGACCCACAGAGTCGGACCTTTGGCGTGCCTTGTGGGTAGAGGCCCTGGAGAAGGCCTGGAGAAGACCTGGAGAAGACCTGGAGGAGACTTGGAGAAGACCTCGGCTCTGAAAGGGTCGCGTCGTGGAGCAGGTATTAGTGCTCTGCGGCCTTGGTTCTGACGTGCATCATGGCGTGTATAGCGTGTCTCGGAACAATGATGAGCTTTCAAGTTTCCAGCAGCAGGCCGCAAAGGTCTCTGTCGGGGCTGAGGTGCGGTGGAGGCGGTGTGTGGTGGGGCTGGGCTGGGCTGCGTGTGGGGGTGGGTGCGCCCCCCCCCCCCTCCTTTCCAGTTCACCTTGTTTGTTCGCCCTTCCTCCCGCTCTCTCCCCCGACCCAATCCCTCTCTCTGTGCTCGGTGCGTTTTGCTGACGGAGCAATTATAGAGCGGGACAAACTAAGGAGGAAGAGGTGGGGGTGGTGGCCCCCGCTCAAACTGTCGCCCCCCGCCCCGCCTCGGGGTCCCCGGGGTGCTCCACGGCTCCCGAGCGCCAGCTCAACTTTTCAGAATTGATTACTTCCAAGCAGCGATGGCTTTGATTTGCATTTCTGATGCCTGGAATGAATGGGTGGGCGGCGGAGGGTGGTGTGGCGCGGGAGGCGGCGCTCCCTTTAAAGCTTTCGCCCCTGCTGTCTCGTTTTGTTGGCGACGCTGTCGCCCACTCTGTCGTTTTCTTCCTGACCGGTTTCGAATGGATGACCTGCTGTGCTGTGACATTTTTCCCAACCCCGCGTCCCTCTCTTTTTTTGTTCGCAGAGCCATGGACCGGACGCGGACCCGGACGCGCCCTCCCTGGACGAGGAGATGGAGAAGGTGTTCGCCATGGGCGCGAGCGACAAGTTCAGCCTGGCGCGCCTGTCGCCCAGCGAGCCCAACGAGCCCACGCTGGGCGGCCGTTTCAGGGAGGAGGACCACAGCTGTGAGTGAAAAGTTTCATGATTCGGATTGGCATTAGACTGCGGCCAACTTTTTTTTTCAGTTTCCCCTTCTATTACCAAATCCCTCGGTTGAAAATTACTTTAAGAGGCTGGGTGACAAAACCAAAGGGTTTTGCGGTTATAGTGCGAACGTATTTTTTTTTCACTCATTTCACTGCCGTTCCTTTCTGTCCAGACCGGCGCAAGAGCTACCAGCACACCCACTCGCCGCTCAAGCCGCTGCGCCTCCACGAGCTCACGCGCGCCCGCTCCGGGTCCATGAGGCGCCAGCGGACCTCTGAGCCAGGGGGCAGCCCGGGCGCCTCGGCCCCGGCCTCGGCCCCGGCCTCGGCCCCGGCCGCGCAGCCCGAGGATCCCTCGTCGCCAATCACGTCCACGCCGGCCGAGGTACGTAGCGGCGGGAGCGGCGCAAAAGGGCAAATGAAGAGGAAAATACAGAGTTTTTATTTTATTTTTTACAATGAGGGGAGAGGGGGGGCTTCCGAGAACAAATGATGATGGCTTCATCAGTGGGAGGCGGGCTTCCCTTTATGCCGGTTATTCCTGAACGGGGGCGCGCGCGCGGCTCCTCGCTGGAGACCGAAAATAATATAAAAGGGGGATGAAACCGGTGAAACCCGTCTGTTGCGTGCCTCGCTCTATGAGGCGGGTAAATTTAAATGACATCTCTCATTTTGACGGTGACGGCGCTGAGCGGCCAGGACTATAACCGGCTCAGCACTGCTAAGTCATCATCTCTGAAAGCAGCGCGCACCGGCCAGGTGGCCGGTTGGCGGCCGGACTGTGCTCGACGGGGAGCGTCTGGCTGGACGGAGGGGAGGCCTCCCGCTGGGCTGTGGCGCGAAGCTGCCCCCGGGTGTTGCCTACCCAGCGGGTGCCCGGCGCCGCCAGACAGCCAGACAAACGCACAAAGGAAATCGGGTTACCACGAACAGAATCTCATTTCTACGTGTGGCGCCGTCTTATCCGTGATCGAGTTTCAGCAGCTCTCCTGTCGCGGCGAAAGCCAAGCCGTCCGCCCTTCTTCTACGCCGCCGCCGCCTCGCCGAACGAACATTTCCTTCGACGTCTCGAACAAAGCGGGAGGCATTGGCAATTCTCCCGGCGTCGTGGCGACACGCGTCCGAGATTCCATTCCGGCGGAGGAGTTGGATCGCAATCCTCACCTGAATTGAACGCCCCCTGCGGTGTGCTTACAGGAGGGCGCCGACAAGGCCCACCCCCTGGCCGGCGTCCTGTACAGCAGCCTGCGGCCCAGCCCCGGCGCCAGCCCCCGCACCAGCCCTCGGCCCAGCCCGCGGCCCAGCCCGCGGCCAAGCCCTCGGCCCAGCCCTCGGCACAGTCACAGCGCCTCGCTAGCCTCGCAGGGCTCGCAGGAGTCGCGGGGGTCCCAGGAGTCGCGAGGCTCAGCCGACACGGAGACGACCCTACCAGCGGGCAGGTTGGTGTCATACAGTGCGTCTTTCTCTGGCTTCTGTCGTCTACTACACATTCAATATAAAAGCAGTTGAGGTGATATAACGCGCGTCCCCTTTCTGAGGCACAGCCCCTTACCTTTCTGCCTCGCCTTTCACTACCCCCTCCAGGACTAGAGAGTCCTCCCCTTTCCTTTTATTTTTACTCGGCATGTGTCGGATTTCGAGAAAGGGGCCTAAGGGGAGTGGGCAAAGGACAAATTACATTTAGGACTCGTCATGTCTTGCGCAACTTGCCCCGGTCTGGGCGGCAGGGTGGATATGTGTGTGTGTGTGTGTGTGTGTGTGTGTGTGTGTGTGTGTGTGCGTGTGCGTGTGTGTGAAAGGGGGAGGTGAAAAGACCACAGGAGGTAAGAAGGACGACAGGGAGAACACCTTCAGAGTGATACAAAGCGCCCTTGCTCTCCCGCAGTCTGAAGGATGAGGTGGTCGACGACGACCCCGACTACGAGCTGGAGCGGCGCGACAGCGTGTCGGAGGCGCTGCTGTCGGAGCGCGCCGGCTCGGGCTCCGGCTCGGGCCTGTACCACGACGTGGACTCGGAGGCGCTCAAGCGGGTGCAGTTCCACATCGGCGGCATCGCGGAGGAGCGGAGCGGCACGACGCCCGAGGGCGAGGAGCCGCCGCACGACGCCAGCCAGGACGCGTCGTCGCCGCACCACCCGGGCGACCAGACGGCGTCCCCCAAGGAGGACCGTCGCGCCAAGAGGAAGCACACGTAAGTGAGGTGACGGGGCCGGCGGGGCCGGCGGCGACTGAGCAAGCAGCCCGAGTACACAAGGCTGGCGGGGAGGGCGGGGTGCCCCCCGGGGCCCGGGGTCCTGGTGAGGTGCGCACACCGCTTACGACCTTGCCCCTCCCCGCTCTCCGGTCCCGGGCCGCCCGCCACGCCGCCGCCCCCTAGAGCGCCTGCGAACCGATGGGTAGGCAACCCACGGGCCGCGGCGCACGCCTGTTGAGCAGCTGGCCTACCCCACGGCGCCCGGCTCCCGGCCGCAAGCCCGCTCTGCGTTAGCTCTGCGCAGCGCGCTCCTTACGCGTCCATACTTTTCCCCTGTCGACGCAGGCGCCACCACCACCATCACCATCACCACCACCGCTTCCATCGGAAGTTCAGCCTCCAGGAGGACCTGGAGTGGCGGAAGAGGTCGGGGGCCGAGTTCCCTTCGCAGAGCGAGCGGCGTCGAGCCAGTGTGCACCCCGAGGAGGCCGCCACCCTGCACGAGATGGACCTCGAGAAGCTGACAAGTGAGCGACGCGCGCCGGCACGTAGGGTGTACACTCCTCAGGGAGAACTCTAAGCAATGACTCTAAGCGATGTCCCGTCTTGCTCCACAGGCCACCGCTTCGACGACGTCAAGGGCATGCGGCGCTTCAAGATCCTGCACCAGGGCGGCACGGGCGCGCACGCGCACAGCGCGCTCCCCGGCGACCGCCTGGGCTTCTCCAAGCGCGTGTTCGACCACACGCCGCACGAGGTGTTCGTGCAGCTGGACGAGCTGTGCGGCGAGGGCGAGGACCGCGAGTGGAAGGAGACGGCGCGTTGGATCAAGTACGAGGAGCACGTGGAGGAGGGCGCGGACCGCTGGGGCCGGCCGCACGTCGCCTCACTCAGCTTCCACTCGCTGCTCAACCTGCGCCGCTGCCTCGAGACGGGCGTGGTCATGCTGGACTGCGAGGAGCACGACCTGCCCGGCGTGGCGTACCGCGTCGTGGAGCAGATGGTCATCTCGGAGCTCATCCGGCCCAAGGACAGGGTGACGGTGATGCGCGCCCTCCTGCTGCGGCACCGGCACGTCAACGAGCACGAGCGCTTCCGCTTCGGCATGAAGAAGGCCTCCGTCAGCTACACCAGCCTGCAGGTAAGGGGGCCGCGGAGGCACAGTCGCCTCAAGAACATAAGAACGGCTATCTATCCAACAAGGTATTCTACACACTCTATACAAAGTCCTCTCTGAGCTGGATATCTTACTGGATTCATTTGTTCAACTAATGGTCGGTTATAAAACCAACTGCACAACTTTCCGTGCATTCAATTTCTGAAAAATACACTCACACGGCTTTGGTGGTTCTGCTGCCAGTCCCTAGCAGCGGCGGCGGAGGCTGGTCGGTGCCCACTGTGCGCAGAGCCTGACGACTGCGAGTCTTACTACTACCAGTCATCTTCATATGTAACTCTATAATTTTGTTAACCAATAGTTCAGCTCCTGCCTTTACTTTTTATTTTCTTCTTTGCGCTCGAATGTTTCTATACACTTTAGTTGATGCAATTGCCACTTTGCAACCTTCTCTGCTGAAGCCCACATCTGTATTATACCAAAATCTATAGTTTACCGTGTTTGTTGCCTTCAACAGGATTGCTGAATACGCCAATGTTTAACTTCCGTAGGATTCAAATTTTACCAATACATCACTGCTGTGATTAGCTTTTTAAGTACATTGAATTTTATTTTTATTTGATGCTTCATTTAAAGAAAAAGCATAGTGATGACAGAGTTTAGTGTTCCACAGTGCATGTAAAAACCAGATCAACCTGTAAACGTGCTTGCATCAAATCCATTGTGCTTTTACTATACTGATAGAAAATGAAGTACTCTACCTCTACCTCAACAAGCATCAGACAAGCTCTCATTCAGAAATTTTATCAACAGAAATGATATTTTCATTACTTATATTGAAATTTTTAAGTATCTAAAATTTTCTGAGGGAGCTATGTGTTATTATTTTGATGATATAGTTACGATAGCATTAGTTTATTTGAAATAGTAGACATGACTCACATTTTTTTTATCTCTGCAAGGTGGCCCACCAACCCTCGATCATTTTGCAGATTTACTGAACCTCACGCACGCGGCACGCGTTTCGCGGGTTGCCTGCTCGCTCGGGGCCGTAAGGCGCGATTAATGATACAGTATGACTACAAAATGATCAGGGCTTGGTGTCCCAGGGATCCGTGGCCCACCCTAGATTTTAGTATCTTTCTCAACTGACAGACATTTGAAATTAGGTAGAGTATTTAGGAGACCGCAGAGAGAAAAAAGACATAGTCCTAGTCGCAAATGTAGATAATAAGTAGAGATTGGTGAGGCATTCTTGGCGATAACTTCAAGAATTGATACTGAGCTAGCTAGAAAAGTCACAGGCGAAAGAGTTGAATAGAATCTGATCAAAATAGATTCAATTTTTAATATTATTGTACAGTTTTGCTTTTGTATTACCTGCCTTACTTAAGTTTGTAGAAATAATTTTTTTATCAATGTGGAATCTCACTTATATTTATTTGTTCTAGAATTTAAATGATGACAAACGGCCAAGGATTATTACGCCTCAAACTAATTTAAATGCTTCACTGAAAGATGGTTGCAACAACTCTTCGAATCACAATGATGGGAAACATAAGGATAGTCTTGTGGTAAGCATCAAATGACCTTTATGACCTTTAATTATACTAACTCTACTAGGATAAAGTAATTCCCTAATTTAAATTTCAGATTGATATGAAGGAAGAAACTACTTACAGTTCTTCAACTGAAGACCTCAACAAAAAAGGGACCAACGACACTATTTTGAAAAGAATACCTGTGGGAGCAGAAGCATTGACTGTTTTGGTTGGCTCTGTAGATTTTTTGGAACAGCCAACTATTGCCTTTGTTCGATTGGCAGAAGGAAGTCTGATGCCAGCTATCACAGAGGTAGGTGAAGCAAAAAATGAGTACCATCTGAAAAATCCACAAAACTTTGAAAAGAACACTTTACACTTACATTTATGATTAAGTGCCTTAAACATGATTTCTTCTAGGTGTCCATCCCTGTGAGATTTATTTTTATTTTGTTGGGCCCAGTCAATGCAGATATGGATTACCATGAGATAGGTCGCTCTCTTTCAACTTTAATGGCTAATCAGGTAAAATCTTAAATAATTTTCACTGTATTCACTACTCTGCTTCTTAATTTAAGATGTAACTATTGTAGTTATGAATTCACTATCCAATGATATTTTTCATAATCCTTTGAACAGTCATTTCATCAAATAGCCTATAAAGCTGAACATAGAACAGAGTTATTATCAGCAATAAATGACTTCCTGGACTGCAGTATTGTACTCCCCCCTGGAGACTGGGAGCGTCAAGATCTCATTCCTTTTGATGACATTAAGGCCAAAAGTGATGCTATTCGTCGTCGAAAAACAACCAAACTATTAGATACCGATGAGCTGCAGAAAGGTATGAATAATACCAAATCAAAACAAGGCCTAAGATATTATTGTTATTAAAACTTCTATACTTTGTTAAATAGCTCTCTTGGAACAAGCTGCAAAGAAAGCTCTTCGCCCTGATCCCCTAAGACGCACAAAGAGACCATGGGGAGGTCTTGTTAATGATGTTAAACGTCGATTACCCTTTTATTTGTCTGATTTTAAAGACGGTTTCAATTTACAAACAATTGCAGCTGCCATTTTTATGTATTTTGCTGCACTCTCAGCTTCTATCACATTTGGTGGCCTCATGGGTTTGTACCAATATTATTTATATTTGATGCACCTATCATACTGTTGACAGTAGAGAAATTCCTTCACTTCATATTATCTTACAGGTGACAAAACTCAAAACATGATTGGTATATCTGAAACTCTAGTAGCTACCTCTATAGCAGGTGTTGTCTTTGCGCTTCTTGCTGGACAACCCTTAGTCATTGTTGGTGCAACAGGACCCCTCTTGCTTTTCGATGAAAGTCTTTTCAATGTAAGTTTACCTAAAGTCTTTCCTACGCTCAAAAATTAATGAAAATTTACAGAGGTGGATTTCAATGTTTCAGATGTGTAGTTCTAATGGGATTAATTACCTTTCAATGAGAGTATTCATTGGCATCTGGCTCTTTGTGATTGCATTTATTGTTAGCTGTTTTGAAGGCAGTGTCTTTGTGAAAGTGTTCACACGATTTACAGAAGAAATCTTTGCTTCTCTTATCTGTATTATTTACATTGTTGAAAGTGTAATGAAACTCTTTAAGGTAAAATATAAATACTTTTTAAAAATGGATATAAGCTGATTTTAGGGGCATTAAAGACTCATGGGTTGATAATTTTCCATTTCAGATCTATGAAACCCATCCACTCAGGTCATTGGCTGACTATTGCGAGGGGTCGGGAAAGTATATACCAATTGGAGCGTTGAGTTCAATTGAAAACTTCACCACCTTAAATGATGACTCAAACGATTTTGCTGGAGAGGGAACCACATTGTGAGCTAACTGTAAAATAAAATTGAAGAAACCTGAAACACAAATTTATTTTTGTTGTTTAAATTTTAATATTTTCCAGATCTAACACCAGTGTTACTATTTCACCAACTGGATATCGAACTACAAAGGACCTGCCCGTTAGCCAACCAAATACTGCATTATTTTGCACAATTTTGGCTTTAGGGACGTTTTTTATAGCTTATTATTTGCGTCAATTCCGCAACAGCAAATTTCTTGGACGAAGTGTGAGTGAATGCTGTCATGTCTTTGAAAATAATCAAGGTTTATTCTGAATTTGCTAAAAATAATTTGGACTCATATTGTTTCCAGGCTCGACGAGCATTAGGAGATTTTGGTGTACCAATTGCTATTATAGTAATGGTCTTGATGGATTATTTAATACCTGGAACTTACACAGAAAAATTAAAGGTACCAGAAGGTCTTTCACCCTCTAATCCTGAAGTACGAGGTTGGATTATCTCTCCAGCAGGAGGAAGTGAGCCAATACAGTGGTGGGTAGCATTTGCTTGTGTAGTGCCAGCTCTTCTAATCTACATTCTTCTCTTCATGGAGACACACATCTCTGAGTAAGTTAAATCAAATCATGCCTTATGAAGACTATCAGCTAGTTGTCAAATATGTATATTTTAATTGTCTTTTAAAACATATTTTAAACCTTCAACAATTTATTTTAGGCTTATCATTGACAAAGAAGAAAGAAAATTACAGAAAGGCTCTGGCTTTCATCTGGACATAGTGTTAATATGTTTCCTGAATATGGGTTGTGGTTTCATGGGTGCTCCATGGGTGTGTGCAGCAACAGTACGGTCCGTAGCTCATGTATCTGCTGTCACAGTTATGTCCAGAACTCACGCTCCTGGTGATAAACCACACATCATAGAAGTTAAAGGTATCGGTATCATTGATAATTTACAGTACTAAAAATAAAGATTAGTTCTCAACATAAACTTTCCAAATTACAGAACAACGCCTCAGTGCTCTTCTGGTGTCAACAATGGTGGGGCTTTCAGTTTTAATGTCGCCTCTACTTCGTCTTGTGCCAATGTCAGTGCTTTTTGGAATTTTTCTGTACATGGGCATATCTTCAATAGCAGGTATTCAATTTTTTGAACGCCTTAAACTATTTTTTATGCCTGTAAAACACCATTCATCTGCACCCTATGTCAGAAAGGTTAGTAGCTCCCCACTTCGTTTTAATTTTTATCTATCTAGAACTTGTAATTATTTGAATTCAACTTTTTAAATAGGTTGCAACATTCAAGATGCATATGTACACATTGATTCAACTGCTATGTTTAGTAGCTTTGTGGGTTGTAAAATCAACTGTACTATCACTAGCATTCCCATTCTTCTTGTTACTGATGGTTCCTCTTAGAGCTCAATTGAGTCGTGTGTTTACACCAATTGAACTGAGAGCTGTAAGTAATCCGATCATGAGAAAGTCCACTTCCCCATAATGATTTGTTTTAAAAATATAAACAAACTCTCTATTTTTCTTCTTTTTTTTGTATGAATTCTATTCAGCTGGACAGCAACAAACCTGATGATGATGATGATGAACCTGATTTCTATGCAGAAGCTCCACTTCCAGTTTAAGAAACTGTAATGTAACCATTCCAAAGTACTCAGGTAATACTACTCAAGAGGCCTCCCAGTTATGGCTAAAAGTATGTATTATACAATACATCTTGGACAGAAAAAGGAAGATGTCCTCTGAAATGAGAGTTTTACAAAAATGTTGTAAATAAAAGTAAACCAGTGTGACAAAAAGTGACAACATGGTGACAACTCATCATATATGTATATATATTTGGGCTGTGGTGCGTAATGTCAGTACCTGGTCTTCTTGACTGGCAGAAATGCACAATGATTACATTCTTATTCCTAAGGAGTTATGTGAACCCCAAGGGGAAGTATATGTATATAGCATTTTCTCTTCCTACTTGAAATATGAATCAAGTACATTGTATATTACTTAGATTATTTCATTAGATTTTTTAAAATAGCTCAATTTAACAAA